GCCAATGATCTCCTAAGATGCCTAGGGAGAGAGATGATGCTCAGGAATGGTTCTGCGACAGACTTCTTAGGAATGATAATGTCAAGATTGTTATCAAAGGTCTGCTTTGAGTATTCTTAGTCATACATAGGGTGACGCTCTGCTTTCTAACCTTCTCTGCATATGTGGGGCTGGAAGAAGCACCCAACACAGTTCAATGACCATAGCTACTCCAAAGCTGTTTTTAGGTCTTCCACCCAAACATTCTATTCTCTACACACATCAAGTCTCATACCCTCAGCCTCTCATCCCCAGCCAAGTGCTCCAGTGCTCTCACCTTCCTGCATTCCCTCTGCTCATCACTCTCCACTTGGTCATCGTCCTTCTTCCATTACAGACCAAAACTTCACGTAGTGCTGTAGAAGCCCTCAGGTGGGTGCTGAGCAAAGTGGCATCATCATCAATCCTCTGGCTATGCTCCTGCTCATATAGCCCAGGATGTTGCTGGGATAGTGCTGACAGTTGCCCTTTTATTGGGTTTTTATGGGGTTACCACAAAAGCACCTTTTCCTGGCACTGCTCTTACGCTGCTGTTTGAACAATGGCTTAAGGATATATGGGGCGACGTGGCTGGTTGCTAACAAGACAGTTGCTGATCAGGGACCCACCCACAGTTTTATTGTTAAGCGTGGTGTTACATGACATGTCACAGCTCTTTCCTCAATTCTGGTCAGCCATTCAGGGGTCATTTCCTGCCTGAGCTTCCTCCTCCAGCACAGATGCAGCAGCAAGCGCAGAGGAATTCCTGCTCCTCCTCCCCTCTCTCTTCTTCTCCCCACCTCCCACTCTACGGAGGAGGCTGCTGCCCTCTCCCACGGCCCAGGCTTTTCAACCAGCATCAGCAGTGACCCTGTGCCAATTCCACAGCAAATGCACTGAGGCCAAGAGGGCACATCTGGACAGAGTCTCAGCAAAGCTGGGATTGATGGCCATGACTCCGGTGGAGTCATGGATGACATCCTCACACGCAAGTGACACTGCCTCAAGGGGACCCACTGCACTGTGTTCCAGCCTCCTCTCATTTTGGGAGTACCAAAGGCTCCCCAAGTTCTTCCTTGAATTCATATCGTGCCCTCACACGTTACAGGAGATGCCTCCAGAAACTGCAATTCATTGCCTTTTTTCCAATTTCTCTGTCAGCTCCCTGGTCCCTAGAAAGGGATCCTGGATGTTGGGCTTCCTTCTCTTCCAGCTCCTGAACATTGGTCCCACTCTGACAGCATCGGAATTTCCAGACAGTAATCTGCTCACCTGGCTGGTACCTCTAATCTTTCCACATGTCCCAAAATGCTCTCGAGCTCCAGGACGGGTTATTTTGCATTTCTTGAGTGATTGCTCTGACTTCGTCCTCCTGTTTCTTGGCTGAAGGACCACCTTACCAATCAGACCCTCACTTCTCCTCACTCCATTACTAATCAGTGATATGGACCCATTCACCTTCTTTGTCCACTCTTGCTTTGTCACTGCTGAGGTGATTACTGTAGGTGCTCTTTGGGTCCTATCTCGACCATGGTGTCCTCACACATGGTTTTGATCTTGCCTCAGCTGCCATGTTCTCAGACGTAGTCTGAATGCCTGACTCGATCTTGGCATTCTCAGAGGTGGTTTGGGTCCCTCTCTAACCACAGTCCTCTCATAGCACTGAATCATGGCTTTATATGCACAGGTCGAGCCCCAGTACAGTGCTAAAAGCAGCTGGTTTTCAAGCAGGTGCCACAAATGGACCGGACACCTCAGGGCATGTTTCAGTGTCACCGCATCCATATGTCCTCACCACATTCTCCTCTGGTCCTCTTACGCCAGCATGACATCAGATTCCACAAATCCCACAGTAGGTCAACAGTGTTAATAAGTAGTATTAAACACCTCCCGAAAGGGGGAACAAGGGCCTCAGGAGCTGCCACAATAAAACAACGCACGTCAGTCTCAGATGGGAAGAAGGAGCTGTTTGCCCTCACTCTCTCCACAGAACAGCTCGCCCAGGACAGTAAGGGCATCAGCGCCCTTAGGACAAAGCTCATAGCCTGTGTTTCTGTGCATGTGCCCCAAGCTCAGCCAAATAAAGAGTAAGCAGTACAGCAAGCAAACCCCCTTGGCCCACACAGAGGCCTGTCAGTTAGTAATGACTACAGGTATAGTATGTTCAATTCAAAACTGCCATTGTCTCAGGCCACATGTTAAGCACCAGAAAGACTGTTGTGAGTTGACTTTATCTGTCTGGCAGCTACCCACCAAGGTGCTCTGTCACGACCCCTCTTCAGCTGGACAGTGAGGACAAAATAACATTAAAAACCCATGGGTCAAGATAAAAAGTTTCCCCTACCCCATGCATCTCAACTGAACAACAGTGGCCATGTGCCTCTTGTGCAGCAAGTGCACTGAGGCCAAGAGTGCTCTACCCAGCAAAAACAAAACCATTTCTGTGTTTTCAACACCATTCCAGCTACAACTACGAAGAACCTGGCAGACAGCTTATATGGTAAAACTGAACTCCATCCCAGGAAGATGCTATAGAATGCTGTTTCCAATTACTATGCAGCCATCCTGAACAACCCCCACCCAGAACAACCATTGAGCAACATGTGTCTCCCTGGGAATCTTGGGAGAATATCTGCAGGGGGAAAGATGACACAGAGACACGGGCTGGGATGCAGCAGAACTTTAATGAATTAAAGGAAGGGAACAAGGTCGTTCTGACTGGAGGTCCTGGCATAGGGAGCACCAGATGCAGAGGAGAGTCTGGCCACATCGCTGTGGGAGTGATTCTGTCAGGTGTCCATCTGCCTGCCCCACAGAGGGAGCAGGAGCAGCAGGTCCTCCCTGACCTGGCTTTGTAAGGCTTACAGCCCAGAAGAGCAAAAGACAAAGAGGACATTGCAGAGAAAGGAGAGAATGGAAGAGGGTAAAGTCAGGCATGGGCTTTCTGAAAGCACAGGCTGGCCCTGTCCTTTGACAAGGGTTGCTGAGGTTGCTTAGCCCCTCTGAAAGAAACATCATGATGCTCTTATCGTCCAGTGCCATCCTGTGGGTCCCTGGGGGCCTTCACCAGGGTCGTCACCAGCAGCTTTAGCAGGGGAGGCATCTCCTGCCACAGTAGCGGCTGGCCAAACCAGAAAAGCCCAGGCCAGAGGGGGCAGGCCAAGGCCAGAGAGGCCAAAGCCCCCAGAGTTGATGGGCACTCCCTCAGAGCTGAGGATGCTGCCAACAGCAGCGGAGGTGGAGGATCCCACGGCGGTGTTCTGTGGGAAGGAGCTGAGGATGGGTCCGGGCAGGGTCACCACCACAGGGGAGGGCTGGATGAAGACGTGGGAGTCCTGGCACTGCCTGACACAGGGCTCATTGCAGCTGTTGGCCAGCGGGGTCGGGCCGCAGGGCCGGCAGGGCAGGCACGGGTTGTAGCAGGACATGTCTGTGGGCTGGAGCTGCACCTGGGAGAGAGACAGGGAGGAAGAAAAGCATGAGGGGTGGATCAGAAGCATCTTGTTACCCCACTACGAAGGAGACCCTTACTCTCAGCTCTACAGTGCTCGGCCAAGTGCAACCTAACCCAGGGAGGTCCACACCTAGCCCATAGCTCAGAAGACATTTCTGCAAAGACCCATCCTCTCTCCATGCCACACCTTCTGCTCCCTTCCCTCTCCCAAGGCGAGCAGCACTCAAGACCTGGCATAAGACAAAGGGGCATGTATGGACTGAGGAAAAGAAGTAAGAGCTTCAGACTCACCTTATTCCCAACGAGATGGAGGTGAGAGGAGTGGATGAGAGAGTGAGGAGAAGGGCCTGTTTTTATACTGCTCCTGCAGCACCCCAGGCCCACAGTCACTGCACGCTGGTAAGTAATTATCCAACAGACTCACCTCCAAAGCAAAATATCTTACCTAATGGCACAGGTTATGTTTTTGTTTTCCATCAATGCTGTCATTTCACTTCCTCATTTCTGACATGACCATTAGGTCATGGAGGCTCTTTTGAAGTACTGAGATGAGGGGCCCAAGGATTCCTGAGCAGGATGATGTCAGTACACATAGATGTGCCCCTGAGTGCTTGAGAGGTATTTGCAGACATGGGTCTAGGGAATTATAGTGAGCTTGTTTTCAACCCCCTCTGCAGGAAGGTGTTTATGTCTTCCCACCAGTGAAGTCCTCTCCTGGGTGCCCAAAATCTCCTAGGACAGAGGAAATGCCGCCCCCTTCTTCCTCTCTGATTGTCTCTTTCCTCGCACCAGCCATCACTGGTCATTGCCTCTCTAGGCAGGTGGGCTGCAGTGCGGATTTCAAATGCCTTTGGTCAGGAAAGCTTCTACTTCCTTGAGACATTTGTTGGTTGCTTTTGTAAAGTCATTGCCTCTCATCACACTTTCTGTGTGTCCTCAACTAATGCCATGAGCAGGCTTGTGGAAGCAAAACATTTCCATCCCAAAAGCTGTGATTCCTCAACAAGACCT